GATTACAGAGGGGAAAAAACTTTAAGGATAAAGTTTTTTCCCCTCTGTAATCTTCGATGCAGCTTCGATGCAGGAATTTTGTTTACTAATGCAAGACCATTGAATTGATTTTAGTCATTTTAATGAACTTGAAGTGTGCTATGTGCACTGTATAATCTAAAAAATTAGATTGGGACTTGGCCTCGGTAGATACTCAATAATAAAAGACTCAGATCAGAAGATCAGATCAGGGGCTAAAAAAACCTGATTAGGACATCCCTAATTATGATTTGACTCCACAATAGAAACGTTCCACAAAGCTCATTGTTGCTGGGTTAATAAATATAAAGCTACTTGGTGTGCTTTGGTATACCACAAGAGAGCATTGTGCCATTTGCAGATGTGACATTACATCATTTCATTTGACATTTCTGATGTTTTCAGTTTTACTGCTATTTTAAGCTGACATTGTAGAAAGCTGCCTAATGTAGCTATTGATTCAGTATTGTGTGTATATAAATGATATTTGATGCAGTGTGGGAGATCCACAAGTGGAATACAACTACTGTTATAACACAATTAATAAATAAATAATGGTGCTTTTCAAAGACTTCTGGGTAATCTTTGAAGATTTGAGAGTCACTGAATCTGCTGTATTCATAGACCCCAGAGGATGAACCATACCAACTGCTTGATCTGCTATGTTGCCACCTTTGGTCAGGTTGAAGTTGGCTGTTTGAAACCAGTCCTTTTTTCCTGCACCAAACAACCTTGAATCAAAGATGAAAGAAACATGTACCTTTTAGAGAGATTACATTAATGTTTTGCCTCTTTTCTCATTGTATTACAGTTATAAAAACTCAGACTGTGAGAGCAGGGTTGGAATAATGCACTCGTGTTGAATATAAATGCACAGTGTAGTGTCCCCACATCTCAACAAAGTGGCTTTTCTTCTTGTGTAAATGTGGAGAACAGAATGTGTTAAAGTGAATGATTCACACAGACTGGAAGATATGCTTTAAGGTACAACTAAAGTAGGTTACACAGTGTAAAGAACTGCAGTAGCTTTTACTTGGAAGTACAATAATCATTTTTCACAGTCCTGAAGAAAAACTTGAGCAGAGTAGTCAACTGGTCCTTCCTAATCATCTGTAGCAGCAGCAAACACAGCAGAGTTCTGATGCTTTAAGTGATTTTTTTAGCCTTGAAAGAACTAGGATGACTTTGCTATGTTCCCTCCAGCAATAGAGAAAGCCCCTCAAGTCCTCTTCACCTCAGCTGAACTCTCACTCCCCTCCTCTTATTAGCTCTGGGTATTGTGGTATCATAGCCTCCCATTGATGGAGGCTGTTGCTTTTATTGTTATTCTTGGGTTTTTTCTCACTCGTTGACATATTGAGATGCCTTCCTAGCCTATCACAACACCGCCTGCAGTGGTCATTAGACATACCCAGTGAAGGCAGCAGTACTGTGAGGATCAGCTGTGAGCTGCCAGGCGCTTCCTTCTCCCTCTCCTGGGGCCAAGCGCAGACTGGCTTGTATCCCGTATGTGGTGTCACAAGGGGAGGAGAGGTGAAGTGAGGCCTGGCTTCCAGACAAGCAAAACTTTAAAACTGATGGCCACATAAATGTAGTTTCCTCATATAACATTGATCATATCTACGAGGCAGCACTTGCGTGTCCCTGAGATGCTATTTGTGCCGTGCTTTGATACAATCTGAAAAGCTAATAGGAAAGGGAAGGTCAGGAAGGGTATAATATTTATCTACTATTTATTCACAAGGTCAGTATGACGGCCAACTACCCCAAACATGGTGACTTACCAGCACACTAATGAACTGTTATCTGTGGACTGCAGATGTCTTGGATGTCTTGAATACACATACAGCCAGTGAAGAGGAGGGAATTAGTTCTTGTTCGACTATAGAAGGAGAGAAACGAAGACAGAAAAACACCAGAATAAACAAAAAGGCACATTCTGCCTTTGTAATATCTCTATGCAACACGTGTAACCAAAACAATGCTAATGCAGAAGAACAGAGGAGGGAAAAGAAATGGACTGATTGTCTACATGGCTTGGCTTTCTTCCTCACTAAGTAATGAAGCTAAATTAGTCTGCCAGGGCTTAGTAATTCGTTTTTTTAAATAATTGCTCGTTTTATAAAATTTCGGGAAAATTGCAAGTTCCCAAATGCTAAGGTTATCTCTTCCAATTGCTTGTTTTGTCCGAACAACAGTCCAAAAGCCAACGTTTCAAATGAAACAGAGAAAAACACATTGGAGATAATTGGAACCAGCTGATGGTTTGTGTCACTTTGCTGCAAACTAAATATTTGAACTGACAGAGCTGCTAGCATAGCTATTTTCGGGTGATTGATTTATCTATTAATTGACCAAATGCTTCAGTCTTGCCTCCTCACTACATACTGTTGTTATTCAGCAAAATCAAACGTGGGATGTTATCAGAACATTACAGGACTGGGATAACCCCTTTTGCTTTTTCTCCCACTCAATCCACTGTGAACCCAAATATTTATTTTGACATTTAGACTCTGGGGCAGTTTGTCTTTTTACTTGGCAAAGCTAATGAAGCATATTGTTTAAGTCAAAGAGACTACTGGAGATTTTATAGGCTTGAGGAGGAGGAGTCATCCAATGCCTTCTGGGTCTTTGGTCACAAAACTAATCAACCCTGAATGTTACAAGGTATAGCAAAGATGGTTTCTGGGTCATTGGTCAAATTCAAGAACAGGATTTGAAGCTTTCCCTCAAAGTGAGAAAATACTATTTATAGGGGCATTTTTTAATAAACATAGAAGCCCAGTGAGTGCCACTTAATCTAATAAATAGATGTGTTTAAATGCTTGAATTTACCATTTTGTCAAATCTTTCATTTTTAATTTCAGTTAAAACATGTACGTGGACCTCAGTAAAGAATATAAATATAGATAAATCAAATGCTATGAAGCATTACATACACAGATAGCTGAGTTGGTAAAGGGCTTAGAATAATAATTACTGTTATTCACAGGTAGAACTTAACTGTGTAGGATAACTCAAGAAATGCTTAAATAGATTTAGTACGTACATTGATTGGTTTCCTCATGATTTGTTAGTTATATGACAGCAGTAGATTTCCCTTTTATTTATTTTTATTTCATTTAGAATATTCATCTGAGTTGAGTTACATAAAGCCTTACCAAACATAATTTGTTTGTTGTCAGTAGGTCTAGGGAAGTGCACTTTAACTGTTGGGACATCAGCAGACCTAATAATTTAGATATGAATAAAACACGAGATTACCAAAACCTTTTATATGTTAAAAGAAGAAAGCAACCTCTGGAAAAAGGCATATAACAGCCTGGAATTTGTTAAAAGACATTTCATAGGGCAAGAGATAAAAAGGTTCTTGAGTCTGCTAGAAGCCAAGCATGTCGAAGCTTTCTCTGAAGTGTGCCAATGGCAGCATTATCCCATGGGGGAGGCATGTAAGGATCAGCCCGAGTGAATTAAGACAAATATAGGGAAATTCTTGAAAGGAAACCTGCATTACACTGCCAAAGACTTTAGACTGATAGACCATGCTAACAGGACTGTGACTGCTAACACACAGGAGACATCAGCACTGGAATAGCTTCATAGCAACATCATGAAAGCCCGGTAGACACACATGCCAAAGCTCCGACTTAAATCTAATTGAAAACCAGTTAAATGATCTGGGTGAAAAAAGCTGTTTACAAACCTGTGAAGAAGGCAGAGAAACCCCCCAAATCTCTAAGTGCTCAAGGGATACAAATGTATCCGCTTTTACTCAGCGTAAGATTTGCTGCCAAAAGCATTTCCTCTGTGCAAGGTGGTGCAAGGCTTCTTTACTCTACTGTATACAGTGCGGTGCACATACTGTATAACTGTGTGTGACTTTAACCTGCATATGGAAACTTCAGGAAATTGTGGCACTATTAACTGTGTTATGTTGAGAGCAGGTCTTGCATAACCTCACAATAACCTCATAATAATCGGTTGTGACTCCTATTTGGTATACAATGGTGAGGTTGCGTATGCCACTAAAAGGGAGTCCAAACAAAAATGGATTTACTTAAACCTTAGTAATTATATAGCCATTGCTATATATATTGCTTGTGTTGCTTGTAAGTGTTTGTTCATTTGCATACTGTGGTTGATATAGATCCTTATTTTGAAAATGAATTTATAATAAGAAAATTAGTAGGATTTACATAGTTCTTATTAACCTGATGTAGCATATAACATTACTTTCAGTATGTGTAGCAGGCATTGCATGTCGAGCACAAACCTCCTGATTCACATAATCTCTGACTAATCTGTCATTTTATTCCACCAGTGAAATGTGGGCAGAAGAAAGCGTACTCTCATTTCAAGTGGCAGCATAATGGGATTTATAATATTGATACATATGGGCATATCATATCCAGTGTTGCATAACAAACAAAACAACAGATGTGACTGTTTGCTTTCTGCAGACGCCAGGCTAATGATGTGCAGTGATTTGTTCAGAAGCTCGTTTAGTTTTCCAGGGTTGAATTTTAGAAACGCTGTTTGCAATATGTTCTTCAACAGCAGGCTCAGCTGAGTCTTTTCAGACGACAAGAAGTTGAAGTTGTACAGTGTTGCTTCAGTTAGCCAGACTCACTTCCCACAAGGGTGACGTTTTTGATAAGTGG